GTAGCAAAAATCATTACATGTTTGGGTCAAGTCTTCCAGGGAGAGGAAAGGATTCAGCTCATCCAGCAAGACCCATTTTGTCCTCAGTGAGGAGAAAAACACACCTCTAGAACTCAATAATCCCCATTCTCATGCCAATGACAAAAGTAATTTTGAAGTTCTCAAATGCCTTTTTGTCTCTTGATGCTTTTGTCAATATGTATTTACTCAACTCCCATATCTTAAATGTCAATTATTCACAGCTGATATATTTTTGGCAGTGTACTCATTCACTGCTCAGCACAACTAACATTCACAGACATTGCAGCATTTGAAATAAAATGCAAGCAGAAAGGAACCAAAGATAGCATAAAACAAAGGATTTCAAACCCTTTCCAAGGTATTGAGAATGATACTTCTGTATTATTATAGAGTAACTACCAAAAACCAGACAGTTGTAATTTGAAGATTTTAATGGATAGAGGACCTATATATGTGTCTCTCACTGCAAGGCTTTATATTAGCTTTGACTTAATCTTCTCAGCCTTCCCCTTGGCTCCCCAATTTCCCAAAAACACCATAAGGTGACATATACATCATTTTGGCTCTCCAATTTTCCAAGAACACCATAAGGTGACATATACATCACAACATACTACCATGCTCAAATATCACCTTTGTAATGACCAATAAGTTATGGTAACCCTAGGGCCACATGATTACATGAAGAAGGGCACATATTTGGGACATATTTTAGGAGGCCAGATGCACAAACAACTGAATTCCAAGAGGCACATGACCATAGTATCAGCAAACCTAAATGCTCTGATATAAAGGCCTTGCATATGGTGTTTTTTGGCAGGGTTTTTTTGAGTATTAGCTAATAGTAACATCTTTTCCACATTCTGAAACTCAGAAAGTTTTCTAAAAGACTTAAAAATAAATCTTTATTAAACAAATTGGTTTTTTCAGCCAAATCTTGTAGGTTTTTTGGATGCAAGCTTTCTGTATAGCACATAAATACTAACACTATTTTCAATGAAGACATGTTCACTACTTTGAATGCACCATTTCTATCCACCTGCAAGAAAGACATTGCTATCAAATAGTTTTGCACTATTTTCATTTTTGCCATCTCTGCAAAACAAGAGCTAGATTTCTATAATTACCAGACACTGAAGATTTCTAGTTAAAGTAGAAACCTTAACTTTTAAAGTAGTAGTTTTATCTATGCTTGTCCTTAGCATTACAGATTTTCTAGCTCTTTTGTAAGAGGCTCACTGATATATGACTTATCACCCTCAGTGTGCATCCCCATACACATCACTGGTGTAGCCCACAGTACCATAACTCACAAGATCAGAACAACTGAAGAGGATTTTAGTCCTACTAAGAATAGGAGGAAAATCGAGCCAGAAAGTCAGAGTCAGATATAACACTTGTTTAATGTTGAGATGAGATGAGGCTATCCACACTATCTTTTTCTAAAGTTAAACAACATATTCTTTGATTGCAACAGTTTTTCAGTGCTTGTAACATTGCCAGACCTATCATCTTCTATACTTTCTATACTGCCAATATAAAATAATTCAGAAGATGATTTCAGTCAAATAGCTCTGCTTCAGGGAAAATACTCAAATCTGCTGTATTTCTAGATCTATTCTTAACAAACCTGGTATGTCTGTGCTTTGGATGAAGAACTTCCAATTCAGACAGAGTTTTCAAAAAATGTACATATTGCCTAAGAAAATGAGAACCGCAACCTCTGACAATATTAAAAGGGAACTGAAAAATCAGATTAAGGACTGGAAAGAAAACCTTATTAAGCAACATATTTCCTCATCAAATATGAAGTCAATACTATTTTATTTACCATTTTCACAATAATTATGTATTTACAAATTTCATTAAATGATAATAAGAATGGACAAATGGGGTAAATAGCTGTAACTACAGAAATGTATTTATTCTGCTTAGTACATGGAAGTAAAATATATATTGGTCAATGGCAACTTAAAATTAGTTCTTACATCTACAACATAAGCTCTACTTTTAAAAAGTATTAGTCTTGGACAGAGTAGAATCAAAAGGAAATTAAGTCATCAAAGCTGAAATAACACTACTGTCAATTTCTGTTCAAAATGGGCAAGTTCTAAGTCTTCTAATAAAAAGTGAATTGACAGAGCCCATAATAAACAGATTAAGTCTTGGTAGCTACAACTTTCTAAGGTTCCATCTGTTCTGTACATGTGCCACCCTGGGCCTTTGCCAGATCCGAGACCTGGGACTCATTTCTGTATTGTTGGTGACACAACACTTCTGCTGTGCTCTGTCAACTATGAAGTAGTGCCTGTTGGGAGAGAGGTGACAAACTTGGAAATGTAGGATACAATTAATACAGACAGTTTGGTAAATAAAACCTTAGGTTGCTTGTCAAGAAGAATAGAAAATATGGATGAAAAGAATAGAAAATATGGATGAAAAAAAGAGGGCATGGGAATGTAGCCAAACCATTATATAATACCACTAGGAGAAACTAAAAATTTAAACTTTTGGAATACCTGCTGAAGAAGTGAAAACAGAGTGAACAAGAAACAATCTTACAAACAACTTGGAGAAAAGCATAGAAACTTTTCAGTGTGATGGCTCCTGACAAATCTGCAAAGACAACAGATCTGGTTATATGAGGCATACTCAGAGGAGGCAGTTTCTTTGAAGAAATATTTTTGTTGATATTCACCATGGAAAAGAATGGTAAGAGTGTCATATCAGAGCACTCTCTCTGGAGAACGGTCTATTTACAGCAAAAGCACTGTTAAAATGTGGGAAAAAAATTAATAAAAGAAATTTTAAAATGTTACCTACCAGAATGAGGCAGCTATTTACTCCTTGAGCTTTGAAGAAACTATTGATGTTACTAAAAAATATAATAGCTGAACTACTCAAGATCAGATGGAACTTCTCATTTAAAACTGCCCTTGTACCACAGGGTAACATAAACATCATCCTCAAGAAGATTCTTAAACAAACACAGAACTATAGAGGAGTAAACTTGATATTTATATGGGATAAAGTATTTCTAGTAAGTCTAGAACAATTAAGGAATAAGTAAGTAAATATGATACCGTGTGGAAGAGTCACCAAGGCAATTGTAGAATAGTTACACTTTTCAAATCTAATACAGCTTTTTTAAGTTATAAAAACATGTCCAGGACAGAAATTTGATTGACAACATACTGCATTTCAAAGTCATTCCCCAAAGCCTACTCAAGAAAGTAATCTCCTCTTAGAATAAAAGAAAATGTCCTGTGAATAAACCACTGGTGAAAAGGCAGGAAATAATGGTGGACCCGACAGTCAGCTTTCACAGTGGATGGAACAACCAAAACAGTGTCACAGGAACCTGTGCAGGAACCTGGGCTTTTCAATGTGTTTGGGAAGGAGATGTCCACAGATGCTACTCAGAACAGAAAAGATACAGATCAACTGTTAAAACATGAATGACTCCTTTATTGGGAGTGACTCGGAGGTGGAACAGGAGATTAAACTTAATGTAGATAAGTATAGTGTACATAAGTGAAACGAAAGGTGAACATGTTTCTAAATTTACACAGGCATTGACCTCTGAGCTTGTTATTCTCACTCACAGATAACTTGAAAAATGTTATGTTAGATTAGGCATTCACACATAAACAGTAAATTCAGGGCTCAGGAGACAAATAGGCATCAGGAATTATTAGGAAAGAAACAGAGAACAAAACAAACCTCACCACTAAACCACTCTATGACTGCATGTTATACTGAATGTTTAATTGGTTCTGTTTTTGGGTACAAAACAAAGCAGAGTCAAACTGGAAAGTAGAGAATGTTGTTGAGTAACTCCTGTAATGAGGAAAAACTATGTAAAATAGAATTATTCAGCCTAGGGAACAGGCAGCTGAGAGGAGCCATCCTCTCTTTACAGCACTCAGTCACATAAAAAGGAAGCAGTTGTTCCCCATGTCTTCCACTGGGACACCTTGCTGAAATCACATGGAACCATGGAAAATGACAGATTCAACTTTAACAAAAGGAGACTAATCTTGACATTCCAGGTAATTAACCTGTAGACTTCTCTGCCCCAGGCTCTTAAAGGCATCCATGAGCAGATGAAAGACTAGGCCAAATTTTAGAAGGAAAGTGCATCCAGATTCACCGATCCAGCCATGCCACCTCTAGTTATGGATGGTTATAAAACTACCCATGAGCACCACATCCTTGGTTTGTTTGCATTTTTTTTCTCCCTGCACATGTGCTGTTGCCTCTGCTGTCAACAGGCAGAGCTGGATGGCCTCAGTTTGTACAGCTGGGTTTGTACATGCTGTTAGGTAACAGAAGGAGAAACAAGACTGGTTAAAGAGACTTAGGGCACTCAAGAAAGAGACAGAACATTTGCCACAGGTGGTATAGTATGAAGGAGGGGTGTACCAGGCATAACTGGCAATGTTTTGATGTCAGGGGGAGGGGACTGCAGGAATCAGTGAGGCCAGGGAATTGGAAAGCAATAAAAAGGGAGAAAAGGTTTCACAGAGGCAAGGGCTGTTTACCCTAGGAGTTAGAGTGTTGGTTTCAATCCTAGAATCAGTAATTAGAAGTCAATAAACAGAATAAATTAGGAAAATGTGTTCTGATTTAAGAGGCTACCTCCAATTAATTGAATATTCTATGCCTGCCAGTATTTTTCACTTGAATCTCCCAGTTTTTCTTCCCCCCACTAAACAGTAAGTTCTATGATGAACATCAAAACTATTACCTTCAAGACCTCTACAGAAACAGTAGATTCTGTTGTCAGAATCTTCATCTCAGTAGTATTAAGTTTGTGGAATGGAACCTCATACTCTGTTTTCAGCAATGTGTCAACTCCTGAACTTTAGGGTTTTTTTCATGTAGGGTATAATCTACTGTTTAGAAATACAAAGAAGAAAGCAGTACGAGTTTTAAATTGGAGTAAAATGATAAAACAAACAATGTTAAGATCTCACCTGCAGTAAGTATGAGCAAGAGGTATCTGCACTGGAACTCTCATTTTGTACCGTGTTCTGCTGAGTAATAGCATCCTCTTTCTTTCGTTCCTTCTGCCCTGCTTCATCATCTTCATACTCATCAAGGCTCTAAAATGAAAAATATTTGGTTATTAGTTATAGTCTTTGTATGTTGCTCCACATGCTTCCCATATTTCACAAAATTCATGCATCAGTGAATATCTTCAAATATTAATTTCATATTTCAGGAAAGTCTAATTAAATGTTTAAATGCTTTTCTTTCCAACTAACAGCTTTTTCTTCCTGACAAAAGTAAGAAATAATCAAAACACGATCCATTTTGACAAAGGTTTAGACAATGCCATGTAAGTTCAGTGCTAATCCTGCTGTGAGCAGGAGCTTGGGCTACACCTGAAGTTCCTTTCATCAGAATGATTCTACAACCCTGTCTTGCCATATGCAACTGTATTACCTTTACACAAGAGATTTTCAGGAAATCCAGAAAAGAAAAAAAAAAGTTCATTGTATTCTTCACTCAACAACTGATCTTTTTTGACATAGTGGCACCTGCTGAAGTTGAAGTGTCAGTCTCAATCACCCATTTTAATTTTGGCCCTCTAGGTTTTCATTTTTTCTTTGAAAATTTACCATTGAAAATCAGTAATTTTTTAATGACTTGGACAGTCATTAATTACTCACAGTTTTACACTTACATGTAACGTTTTGACCCTTCAGCACAAATGTTTCATACTAGATTTGCTGAAATACTTGCTTTGAGAGGATTAAGTTTCTAAAGCACTGACTGCTGTCAGGCCAGAGACAGCAAAACTAGGTAGGCAAGTAAATAAAAATATAAAATAATCAGTATTACTGCCTCTGTCCTAGCTCAAAGCCACGTTAAGGCCAGCTTTGGGCTAAGTCAGCTATGTTAGAAGACCAACTTAAAGCAGACAAAGCTAAAAAAACCCCAAAACCTCCGACTATGACATCACAAGCTGTTTGCTGGCACTCTACATCAGAACAAGAGATGTGTGAAACCTTGTTACTGAAACACAGGGAAATAACCAGTTTAAGAGACCAAAAAGCTTCTAGATTGATGTACAGTACCTTGAGAAACAGAGAACAGGACTAGCAGATAACAAAGATGAATGTCAAATTATTTCAGTTGACATTTCTAATGCAATAAAAACTAAATCAGTATTCTGAGGCTCAGGTACTGACAATCTCTGTCATCACCTTACACAAAGGACACCAAACTAGTCAAAAATATATAATGAGAGTGTTGGAATACAGTATCTTTAAAAATAAAGCCAGTGTTATTTGCTAGCTGAAAATAGCACTAGTATATCAAAAACTAACTCCAGCTCCTCCAAAGCAAACGCCCTGGTGATACACGTGCTAGAAAACTGGCAAACCAGAAAGGGATATGTTTCCACAAGTGAACCTGAATAAAAGCCATTTCAACTCTCCACAGCAGTGCTCATGACAGCAACACTAATGCAATTGCACTGGTCTACTTCTAACAAACCTTTCAATGTAACTCATGCAGACCTGCTCCTACCACTAAGGCACACTTAGAAGGTTACTATGGCTAAATCATTACACATTCAAAAACCCTTTCAATGAGTCTTTTCTAATAAAATAATTACAAATATTTAACATAATTCTTTAGGGTCCATTTGTAACAAAGCATTTAAAAAACGCTGCCATGGTACATTCTAGGAAATTATATTTAAATCAACATCCTCTACTTTTTATAAACTGTAAAACTTAAAAATTTGATGACATAAACTTATGTCCTAATTTATCCCATTATCATATTAAGCCATTATGAAATGACCCAATAACAAATAGTAAGGCCCTACTGCAACAAGAAATGGAGTCATCTTTGCCTCTTACAAAGCCAGCCTTGTTCAGAAAGAACTAGGAGGTACACAGAAGTTATCATGTAAATTTTAACTACTGTCATGCAGATGAAGAATGATACTGTGTTAGAAAAACAGAAACATTTTCAGATTGGCCTTCTGTCTCTAAGTTGTCATGACAGAGAATGGAAACAACTTTGCATTTTCAAGGGAAAACGTTCTTTAAGGACAAAAATGAAGCTGAAATATCAATATTGTAGGAAGAAGTGTGTAGTAGTGACTGAGTAGATAAGTGTACCTTTCTCCAGAAATTCTCTCCTTCAGATACATGCTTCTCAGAAGGTTTCCAAAGACAATGAGTGCTCAATAGAAATATTTTTCTCTGAATACAATTACATCCATAATGAAGAATGTTCTTCTCTCTTTTAATATAAGGTTACCTGCTATTAACTATTCTTTTAGCATTTTTGAACAGGAACAAAATCTGTATGAAAGTTCTAGCCACATAATTTTAAACTAAACATTTTCAGTTGGGATTTGCCAGCAATGTCCATTCCCACCCTTTCCTTTTTTCTCAGGAAGGTCCAAGATCACCAAATTCTGCAAGTCAGTATCATTGAAAGGTATTCAACCACCCCAAACAATCCATACTTCCAAGGTTAAAGGCCTTCTTCCCAAGCATGGAACAGTTGGTTAAACAGTTTATGTAAGTCTAATTCTGTTTTAAAGGCTATGGGAGCTTGCTCCCCACTCCAGTTCCCTTCACTGCAGCAGGTGTCCCACCAGCTGAGGCCAGCACAAGTTTGAGTGGTGAGAACCACAGAAGCACCAGGTTTTTGATGACTTGTAAGAGGTGAGGTGGAGGAGTCAGGAGCACAGGTTGGCAGTCACCATCCATGGCTGACACAGGACATTTGGCCAGGGCTGCCAACGCCTTCCTGCCCTAAAGCAGATCCGTAGTCACTGTCAGAGGCCGTGGTTTCCCAAACACAAAGGCTGTGTTCCCCTTCCAAACGTGCAGACACACCAACTCACCTAATGTTTACAAAATGCAGGCTGAGCACAAACCAACATGCTAACAACTACATCATTTAAACCTTTTACTGCCTTTTAGGAAGTTATTAAGTTTTGCTTCAATAACCATTAGCCTTAAAAAGGAAATCCACTTGTTTTGACTCATGATGAAATAAGCTCTCTTATTGAAAATATCCCGCTTATGCACTTCATCTTCAGTTATTACTTGCTAGTATTATTGTCATTTATGTTCTTAGCTAATTTTTAGAGGAATAAAAATCAATAAAACCACATTTTGCTTTGTGGGTGAGGGTTGATACACTATTATTGAAAAAATTTAAAATGTTTAAAGTGTTGTTAGACACTTGAAAAATTGGGTTTTTTCAAACTGCCCTGCAGCTGAAACTGCCTCAGCCCACAAGACATTTCAATTAGCTGGATTACTGTGTTGTTCACATTGCAGGCTCTCTCTTTGCTGTAAAGACTAGTTTCACATCATTGAAAAAGACGTAAGTACAGCAATTACTTTCTCTGTCAGCACAGCAGAGAAATGGACTTGTAACCACGGAGGTGTAATTCTGACCCATTATATAATTCTCTCTGTTCATTCCCTTTCCTCTGCTTTTTTATTTTGCCACTAGGCACATACCATTTCAGATTCTTATTTTCCATTAAAATCATCTGAGTTTTGTATAGCAGATATTCAATGTGACATTCCCACATCTGATCTTAATATAAGGAATCCACAGAAATTTTTTAGGTTTTCTAGGATTTCAGTAGATGTTTGAAGCTGTAGTATAAACATTTTTTATAAACCTCTAGTATGGAAAATACAAGCAGACTAAGATGCTTTCAAAAGAATCAGACTGAGGAAAGAAACTGCCACAAAGATATCTCCACATTCCAGCACACCACCACCTCCAGTTTAAGGAGACACTGTACAAAGAACATTTCTAATGATTCACTGGTTTGCCTCCTATAAATATTTGTGCATTGCTAAGAACAAGCAGAAGTTGGGGAAGGGCTGTCTTTTCCCTGGAAAGAAGCAATATTCCTATCCTGTGCAGATCAGTTTATGAGCATGCACAAGCTGCTCTTGCCACAAGAAACCACACTGAGTCACAATGTCCCCGTTCCCCATCCCTTTCCTGCACTAACCTGCTTCTGCCTTACAGCACATAACTGAGGGCTCCCAACTCATTTCATGAAAGGTCAGTCAGGTTCCTTTCAGCAGGTTTAATTAGCTCAATTGATTTTGCCTGGACTAGATACAAGCCCATTCAAACTACTTATTTCACAGAACTCCAGGAATGGTTGTGCTACATCAGCTTTTTGCAAATGATGAGCACTTGAGATAATACCATATTTAACCAGTACAGCAAGATGTGCAGGCAGATATGTACTCTCAGTTAAAACTCATGTTCAGCTTCATATTGGGCAATAAACAGAAACTCTACATCACAAGCACCATCAGTTATCTCGATGGGCTTTCCTAGCTTAACCATGGTAGTAACGTCAGAGAGGAAACAAATCAAGGCATCTTCCCATTTCCCTGAAACAGCCACAGACAATCTAAAAAAGCAATTTTAAAAAATCAATTTTACCATAAGGATATTTCCCATGCTGAGAAAAGTTCAAAGTGCACTATCACAACTTCACCTCAAGACACTGTAAAACTGCAAAGGTTTCTATTAAATGTAAGTATTTTCTAAAAGCTTCAACAGTAGAAATACAAGACAGGATATAAGAATTGCTTTTAACTCTGAAAAAACTTATCCAGGGATTTACTACTGCAACATACATTTTGGAATTCAACATTATCTTTCCCTTGGCTGACCAAGGAAGAACCTGGAAAATTAACTGGGAATAAAAGACAACTATCTTACACATGATTTCTCTATAATCACTCTTCTTACTGCAACACTGAGAACCAAATGCTTCCTTGCTTTACCATGCACAACTTTGGTATCAGCTAAATACCACCTCCCTACCTCTTTGCATAGTATCAAATGCTTCTGTCAGCTCTTCCCATCAAAACCAAGCAAAAATCCCAAACCTGTGTGATTTAAGATCATGTATCTCTTCCCCTCTGAAACACTAATACTAACCATATTTATAACACACTTTTGTTACACTGTCCAGACAGCACCCAAAATATTTAAGTAAGACACATTTAGAGTAATAAAATCTTTTTATTGGAATGACAGTATAATTGGAAAAATTCTGCAAGCCTTTCATCACATTTCACTT